GGGGGGGATAATAAGTAAAAAAATAACAAACAACAGTTTTAAAAAAAAAAAAAAAAAAAAAAGGAAGAAATTTTATTTAAAAAAACCGGAAAAAAAATACAAAAAGATATAATCTTTTCATCAGCCCACACGATTATATCCGCAAAACAGAGTGTTTTATATATATATATATATATATATAATGTAAAATATATATAATATTTATTAATGTTATATTTATAAGCTTTATATTTAAATCCAAGTGTCTCAATGTGGAGGGAAAAAAATTTGTGTAATGATGTATATTTATTCAATTATAAGTTTCTATTAACATAATGTACACTTGATTTGGTTGATTGTTTTACAGCAATCAACATTGTATTCGACCTATAAAAGGAAAACTATCAACAGCGCAAGAGCCACCAGGAATGTTGACTTTACGATACACAACATACTCTACTCATGTAGAAGGTAATCATTTTTCATAAAAATTACATGTTTCAAAAGCCAACTAGTAGAACAGTCTAAAAGAAAATGTAACTAGATTCAGTCAACTCTAACTGATATTTAACTTTGATTTGGTTTTGCAATTTGATTTATGTTTGGTTATGCAATTTTTAATTAAAATTATCTTTTCTTGAAAACCCCAGATAAATATTTAATTGTTTGAACTCTTATCCTCATATTTATGAGCATTGATTAATCTAAACCTGTGTAGTATTTTTGACCCAATCATTTTATTTTGTTTCTAAGTACGAGTCACAATTTCATAAAAAAAATGGTTTTGTTTGCCTGTTTTTATTTACTTCAGAAATTGAATTTTGAAAATGCTCCTTTTTCAAAATTAGATTTCTCGAAGACTGTTTGACAAATTTTGATCGAATTTTGTATTTTGCCATTTAAAATCGCATTCTCTAAAAAATATACGAAAAATGATGTAAAAAATTGTGTACTTTACAATTTAAAATTTCTTCAACTATTATTAAATAAAATAATAGAAAATAATAAATATTTATTAAATATTTATTTTTACATGAAATTATCTTTCAATAAGCAAATTTCATAATTGCGTGCAAAACTTTTTCAATTCACTTAAAAAGTTTTAGAGATATGAAAAAATGCGCAAAAAAATAAAATTAACACTAAGGGGTCAAAACTTTGCGTTGCTCTCCTGACCTAACTATTAGGACCATATTTCTTAGATTGTGACTTCCCCCCATATTTTGTGGATCAAAAAACCCGGATTGGTCGGAAAAAAAGGTATGTTTATTCAGAGAAAGTACATTTTTGAGTCTGATTTCGTAACTTAAAATATCGTCAGCTCCAGTTAATTAGCATAATTGAGATCACCCTCTCAAACCTATTAAGAAAGTGAAGATCCGATCATTAGATCAAAAGTTATTCAGAGTGGTCTGTTTCTTATTTTGCGCCGTATACATGTTCAGAAAATATTTGTTATTTCATGACAGAATCAGAAAAATTGAACTAAAAGTCTAAAACAGTGTTTGTATAATAAAAGATTTAGACAAAACCATTAATATACTGATTAATATTTATTAAGCATGATTTAATGCAGAAAAAAAAAATGAAAAAGAAGATTTCCTCCTTGAACCAATTTTCTGTATAAATATAAAATAAAGACTGTATAGTGCTACATCGAATCAAATTCTTAATCAAAACAGCAAGAGGTCCAGCCAAATGTAAAAATGGTTATGTAACAAAGAAAATTGATCAAAAGACATTTGAAAAACAATAAATAAGTATTTTTTTACCTTATATCGTTAGATTATCGACTTACTGTAAAAATACTCAAATTTAAGGAAATTTTCTTTGTTTTTGACGAAACCGTTTCCGATACATGCTCCGAGCAAAAATTTCGTCTAAGTGACATTTTCTGATAATCATTTTATCGTGGACCACAAATATGAGGATCTGCGTCACCCAAACAACATAAGAAGAGAAGATAGATTAACTACACACTTGTCCGAAGCGGGATTCAAACCCGTGTTCTTCCTGGTACGAGACCAACTCCGTGACCACCATGAAGTCCGGTTGGCTTGTCACGTCACTTCATTTTCGATCGTCTAGTCTTTATTGCAGTTTCGTCATTCTAGTTAACAATATACCACGATGCAATACGATAAGGTTTCGAGTTGAGGAAACATTTTCGTCATATATTTGAGCATTTGCATTTCGTCACAAATCACGTGATTTCGTGACGAAATTATTCTCAAAGTTAACGAAATGCGACTCGAAGGATTGTTGAATCGTCAAAGGTGAGCATTTTATTTCTGGGAGTGTAAAAAAAATTACAAATACGATCAATATTGGCCATTTAAATAAGCCTTTTCTGATCAAATACCTTAAACAAACTTAATTATCATAAAAAAACTCTTGCTTGTACAATAATTGACTCAATTGTTATTTCATCAAATCACCAAAACCAACTCGACATAAATGAACTGCATAAACCAGACAACATTTTTTTTCCCTTATTCTTTATAATCCTAGCTTACTTAACAAATCCAAATTTTTTCCATTTTTTGCTCACAGCAGAAATATTACTTTTATTATCCCGGATGACTGAAGAATCTTTAAATATAAGATCACAAACTCCATTATTTCAACTCACATATTTTGTTTGGAAAAATGGAGTAGGCTTAAGAGGTTTGAAAGGCTGTAATAGGATCCACTAATTATTTCTTAAAAGTCATTTGCCTGTCGTCCATGGGCTTTACTTAATTTTCTCATGTGATTTACAACAGCTGAAAGGATGGATTTTATTAACTTATCCAATCGAATTTCTTAGAGTTAAGTGCATTTTGTGATAATTAAAGCTCTATCTCATTAGGGGGCAGTGCTGGCTAAAACGATCGAATTAAATTTGTTAATATTGCTGTAAGTGGATTGTGATAAAAGTTAAGCAATCTACTCTAATGCCCTTCTAATTATTTTAGCTGAGAAATAATGACGATTTATAACATCAACATGTTAAAGAATTTTTGAAGCGTTTATTTAAAATTGCATTCTATAGAATATTTTTCTTACATCTTTTAACTATAACTTATTTGTGCTGAAACCAAATGTTACGGAATAGGAATGGTTTACTCAATAATATGTTAAATATTTTTTTATTAAAAATAATTATAAATAATGCTATCTTTTTATTATAAATAATATCATAAATTATACTTTTCCTCATTTAAAAATAATACTATTTCTTAAAATTATGGTAAAACTCTTGCTACACAGCAATTTGTTAACCAAACGAAAAGTATCATCATCTGCTTTGTTTCATTAAAAATAATACTTTAAAGCAAAAAAAGATCGGAATTTCATGAGCAAATGATTCCGGGAATGTTAAATGAATAATTCCAATAAACTATGTGGTTAATGATTTAAAAACTTTATTTGCTTCACGCAAATTATGTAGTTATCAGCTTTAAAAAAATGCTATAAATCCTAGATTGCAGCACATGGCTGGAATCTTTGGCATGAATTCAATTTCTATCATACCAAAATTCTTTTTCCCCTGTCACATCAACTCATCTTAATACCCTGAAATCTTGTTTCACTCTTACGAATACCAATTTTCTTGTTAACCACATGAGGTGACTGGTACACGTTAAATCCATCGAGTCACAAAGTCTTCCATGTTCCCATAATAAATCAATACCTCTGGGGGTACTGAAGTGGAGATTGATCGTTCTCTGGTTCTCATCAAAATTACCACCTGTGTATGAATGAATGGATGTATGAATGGGTCCGTTCTATAAACGGGCGTGACGTATGGGTGTGGCAATAGTCGAATTCTTGGACAAAGATGGCCTCACTGGAAAATCAAGAACAATCGCACCCCTTGCCTTAATGCTCTATGACAACAACAACATTCGAAGTTTTATAAAATGTGAAACATTTAAAATAATTTTTTAACAATAAAAAGTGTATCGTATACTCTTATTTTATTTATATTTCAGAAAATGTCCGAGTCCTTTTTACAGACTATTCCTCTGTAGATTTTATTTTGTTTCTAAGTACGAGTCACAATTTCATAAAAAAAATGGTTTTGTTTGCCTGTTTTTATTTACTTCAGAAATTGAATTTTGAAAATGCTCCTTTTTCAAAATTAGATTTCTCGAAGACTGTTTGACAAATTTTGATCGAATTTTGTATTTTGCCATTTAAAATCGCATTCTCTAAAAAATATACGAAAAATGATGTAAAAAATTGTGTACTTTACAATTTAAAATTTCTTCAACTATTATNGGTGTATCACAAAAAAAAAATTACGAAATTCATAAATCGTCATAATATTCATTCATTATTCATAAGCCGATGAATAGTTATCACTGTGCACAGCCATACATCATAACTAAGCTAAACTCACTGGCGCGTCAGTGAGTTTATAATCTCACATCGTAACTAAGTCTATACATCATAACTAAGCTAAACTCACTGGGGTGCAAGAGCAGATGTTCCGGTTAGGTGGTCAGCCGAATGCGAAACCCCCAGTGTTTATTTCCCAAGCATGCTTGGTATTCATTTCATCGACCCACTGAAGGGATGAAAGGCTGAGTCAACCTTGCCCGACCCGAGGATCGAACCCAGTACATGTGACACGGGAGCTCGAAGATCTACCATTCAGCCACCAGGCATCATACATCACAACTAATTTAATTAAATTAAAGAATATCTAGATCTTTTCTGAATCAAAAGCGTAAACTTCAATTTTTGTTGACGTAAATATTAAGGAGTTTTTACAAATTTATGCTAGATTCTGTATTCTTCCGTACGTAAATTACTTCCGTACGTAGATCATTTGTATCTATACCTTTTGTTGGCGTGGCTACAAGTACGCTGTTTAACCCCTTCCCTCTCGCTCCCGTGAAAATGACGGGATGAGTTTTCTCCCTCTATTTCTCGCTCCCATGATATTGACGAGCTGGAATGTTCAGTAATAACGCGCCAATAAGAATAAAACTAGTTCATTTCTTTTGCCCGGAAAGCATTTTATCTCTCATTTTACACACCAGATGGCAGTACCAGGATATTTTTAAGGTAATTCAAGATAGTAAGTTTATTTTAAACTAGATGTCAGCACGAATCAAATACGTGTATTTGTGATTGGATAAAAAAATGGGCACTTTTATGACCATTTTCTTGAAAATTAACCGATCGTTAAGGGGTTAAAGCAGTTTAATGTTGTTTTCTGTTTAAGCCTACCTTCGAATAAACAACAAGGAGGACAGGTTACAGAAAAATCAAAAAGAACGTCGACGCAAAATGAAGATGGGAGTTTCATGCTTACAAAGCGTTAAAATGAATCGTTTAATTTTATAACAATTTGTAAATTTATTATAAAAGAAAAATAATAATTTTTATTAGTTTTATTTTAAAATTATGGTTGTCTAATTGCTCTAGGTTCTGAAGAAAGTATGCATTTTTTCGTTATTTTAAAATTTTATTTATTTCATTTGTTTGTTTTATTTATTTATTTTACTTCTTTGCTTTATTTATTTATTTTATTTGTTTTAACTATGCAATTTAAGTTGGAAGAAATTTCCTTCTAAACATCCATGTCCATTATAACAGTTTGTTCTGCTTTTGCAGTCAATAATGATATTTCACTATTTTCAACTTTTTGCAAAATCTCTCATTTTCATTCACGTAAATTTCATATTTTTTTCCTGGGGCATGCGAATTTTGACAAAACTGGCGCATGCGCAATTACTTCAAACCTTAATTCAGGAGGGAAACGATTGTAGCATAAAAGTACGAAATCTCTCTATTGATGAAACTTTAATCCCATTCGTCAATGCTTTGAAATTTGGTGAAAGAAAAAAAATTTGGTAAATATGTGACCACAGTGACATATTTTATCGACTTGAAATTTCGAAAAAAAATGAGAACCACCCTAATATATTTGTGATTGAAACTTATATATATAGGGGTTAGAAACTAAGAATTGTATAGTAATTATTTTAATTAAAAGTTTACAATGAACTAATTTTGCATTATTATAGCGTCCGCCGATTTTAGGAATGAATTTGAATTTTTTATTCTTCATATCTTTTTTTTCAAACTGCTGTTTCAATTTGCTTTTACAGTCTTAAGTTTTGTTTTGTACTAATTAAGTTTTGTAGAAAGCAATAAAAAATATATAAAAACTAAAGAAAACTTTTTTTTCAAATTTTCACAGTTTTAATTAATCAAATACTATCACATTAACTGACAAAAAGAAACATGGTTATTTCATGGCAGCACTAAATAGGGAAAAAATTCTGATAAAATTACCGTTCTGTATGGATATGATATTTCTGGTAGAAAAAAATGTAATTCTCGTTTGTGGAACCAAAATAGGCATTGTATGAATAATTCATTTGATAAATTTTTTCATCCATATGGTGATGGTTTACATGAAAGCCTGGTTTTCGAAAATTCTCATTACCACTTATTTAGTAAATAAAACAAATTGAAAAGTTAATTTAAATCAAAAAATAGATTTATGCCATGCCCTAAAGTATCATGATAAAATTGCCAAATTTTTTCCCATAATTGTTCATTTTAAATTACCAAAACACTTCACTAAAAATTACTGAACTTTTTAGTGTTCCAATGGAGCCAATAAGCAAAAGAAAATTTATCACATTCTAGTAGTTTTGACCATATCTTCTTGTGAGTGTAATAATCTCAAGTCTAAATTTTACAATGACTGAATAAATTATTAGATTTCTTTAAATAATAAATTAAAAGTTAAAACCTTTTTCAAATATACAGTTTAAACAATATGGGATTTTTTTTATTTATGGCTAGATAATAGCGGTACGAGTTCTAGTGTCAAAACATTTAAGTATAAAATGAAATAATAAAATAAAAATTTCCTGTATTTTTTTATTTGATCAATGTGAAAAACTGCGGCTGGGTGGTGCAGTTGGTTTGTGGTCAGCCTTCTGAACCCAAGTCTGCGAGTTTGATCCCCGCCTCAGACACTGGATTTTCGGGATGCAGAAAATCCTCAGCGGCCATGTCGTATGATTATGCGGCATGTAAAAGATCCCTGGAGTGCCTTATTGGCTCTTAGCATCTCCGGCAAATTCCTAGTGCACTTTAGCATCCAAATAGAGTCTCGGTGCTGCCATCTAGTGTGGCAGAAACTAGACGTCCAAATTAACATGGTCAACGGTATCTCACCCATTGTGGTTGTCCTGAAAGAGTGGATACCAATTCTGGAGAACGCAGTAGGTCTGCTAATCGGGAAGATTGATTGTGCAGCTCATAGGGGGAAAAAATTTTAAAATTTGAAAAAATTATCTTAGTTTTCAATGCTTATTTCTAAACCATATAAAAATATAGGGGGTGGAGTATTAAATTAGATAAAGGTGAAAATTGCAAGCTGAAAAGATCTGCGTAAGCAGTTCTGGGGATTGGCGAGCAGGAGGATGGAAACTTCTAATATCAAAAGAGAATTGATAAATCATGGTTAATTGAATTTTGCATTTTTATAATTTTTCTTTTTTTTCTCTTTTAGGTCCTTGCAAGGTTGAGCAATGGGATACCCGAATTGATGACTTTCCAGGTATTTAAATAATTAATTTCCAACTCGATATTTTGTGCTTCTTGAATAACAAAAAATCGTGATGAAAATACGAAGGTCACTTTTAAGGTTGTTAGGAAAGTAATTTAAGTTTTAATGAAAATGAAAGACGTTTTATTTTAATAGTGAATAAATATTTTATTAAATCGTCCTCTCTGGTTCAATACTTTTGTAATCTTTTTGGTCGTAGCATGATTCTACGCTCATAAAATTTTTGTTCCCTTGCTGGTAAAAAAGGGATCGAGGGGATTTTTGACCTCCTGATTTGAAGAAAATGTTTTAAAGTCTGCAAAATTTCGTGAGACCGAACAAATATAGTAGACAGGTCATTTCTCGCCACGCCACTCATGATGCTTTTAAAAAACGGATCATTTACTTGATGTTCTAGAAGCAAATTACGGATGTCAACCCGACGTCACAAATTTCTTTCCGTAAGAGCATAAAGAACAAATGCGCCCTTTTTAATTTTATTTTATGTCCGTCATTGAACAGCTGACCCAATTCTTTTAGTTTTACGACTACTAATGCTCAACTACATAGCCTTGTAATTTTGAACCCAATCCAGAGGACAAGGGAACACCTGGATAAAGTATTAGGAGAAATTTGCCTTCGTGGATGACTTTTTTGATGGAACTGACCAGCATTTGAGTTACATGGAGAAGATGACCGCGAAAACCTCCCACTGTTAGTCTGACGGCAGGAGACCATGATCTATCTACCACTGAGGATGTTTTTTACGTCAGCTCTGTGGTCGGTGCAAGCCGGATGTGGATTCTAATCGACCAAGCCATCGCTGGGATTCAAACCCGGTTCACCTCATTGGAAGGCAAAGTTCTACTTCCTGAACCATCACGGCTCCCAATGTAGCTTTGAAATTAAACCTAGAAGTTTCAATTTAAAATGAACGATGGAGTTCGATAAATTTAAAGTTTCAGCCGTCTCGCAAATTTTTATTCGCTGGTTTGCAACAATTAATGCCTTTACTGTGTCGTTATCAGCCTTCCAAATCCAATTGGCCTTCCAAAATGTGGCGCATCTTCAACATCAAAATTGTCGGAACGAAGTATTGAAAACCCCAGTTTTGGCACTATATTACCGTCAATACGTCTTCTGCGTACGCATTGAATATTTTTTTTTCTCGCTTGGCCAGCATTATTACCTTTTTGTTAGTAAAAAAGTAAAATATTCCTAAAATGCTGCTTTTCACTTAGCAAATATGATCCCATGAAATTTTTTATAAATTGTAAAAAAATTTTTATTATTGCTGAAGCATAATTTGTTACTCAAAACATATTTTAAATTTTCTTTAAAAATATAAATTAGTTATCTTATTTCATTAAAAGAAAATAATAAAAAGTTGGAAATTAAGAAACGGCAAAAAAAAAACATTATTACTAGAATCGTTACTTTAAAAAATAGTGTTTTTTTCTTCATATTTTTAAGATTGTTTTTTAAATAAAACATATCGAATTACTTTAAATGCAAATTATTCTTTTAGAGAAGAAAGGTGTGCAGAAATATTCTACACATACTCTGCGACGAGTATATTACAGCACATATCAATGAACAATAAATAACTTTACCAAAAGTGTGTGTTAGCGAATTTGTAATATGAAGGCAATTAAATTCCATATTACTATCACAAACTATTATTAATAGGAAAATAATAACTATATTTATGATATCCAACTTGAACGAACCATAATTTAAATTAAATTCATGTCATACTGATATACTGCATAACATTTTTTCCTAACAATTATAAACTAGATTATTATCTTATTTAATCCTTTTCTCGGTAAAAAAAAAATCATTAATGTAATCAGTTATCTTTTAATATTACAACCTTGAATTTAGTGTAGCATAAAACCTATTTTTATAGATTCTCTCTACATCTACTTTACATAATAGCATAGAATTCGTAAGCTGCTATACAGTTGCTAATGTTTTGGATTCATTAAAATTCGTTCTTATTTCTCACACTTTCTTTTCCGCCAACACATTTGAATACGTAAGGCTAAGAAAAAGAGCTTTGGCATTAAATTCACTCAATTAATAGTCAATGCATGAATTCCTTAACTTTTCTTTGCTATTTTAACGTATACATGTCAATCGCATTTTTGATTTCTAGATGGATGGTGGTGTCCTGTGGGGCTTAGCCCTGCAGCCACACTCTGCGGGCCATTTTCCGAATTTATAATTTGATAAGCAGGGTTCGCGTTATGCATTCGCCACCTCACCAAAGCTATAAAATCATAAATTTGGAGAATAAAATTGTGTGTTTGGCTAAAGTATTGGCGAATGATTTTTTCCACTAGAAAGAAAAATATATATTTTACTTGATCCTCAAAATTAGGTCAAAATGTTCTTAAGAAATCAATATTTTTTTATTCGATTACAGCAATTTTCGATAGATGTGCCCCATAAGCAATTAGAATTGGGTCCAAATAATATAAGCCTGAAACAAACTACGGTAAAATAGTTCTCTAAATGGAAAAAATTAAGCATAATAGATTGTTAAGATTTGAATTTGGCGAAGACTTGCGGCAATTGGAGAATGCTTTTAATATTTGGCTAATTTATTGGCTAATTTACTGGCTAATAATTTGAAAACCTTAGCACGGGCCCTGATAATGCATACTTATATTAAAAATTGAGGTTAATCCTTACTTTCATAAGTTCATAAGTTTCCTAAGTTTAACATAAGTTCAAAAATAATATTTTTTAACATTTATCGGATTTGATTCTTCACTATATTTGTTTATTTTTACACTTTGGACAATAGAATATTTATACAAATGTATAATGGCGATTTCCTTCAATGATTCATCAACATTTTCCAATGATTCAACTACATTATCTCCAGGATAATTATTCTACTAATATTGCCTTTCCTCCGACTACATCTAACTAATAGTAATCATATAAATTCCTCATCAAATAGTAATTCTTTCTTCAGTCACCAAATTTTTCCATCATAGCCAAATCTTTTCCTTGATAACCTATTATAAATTTGCTTCCATCTTTCCGAAATAAACTGTTCTTATGCATGGTGAGATTCCGCTATTTGATTACTTAAAATAATAACGATTTCCTGCAATGATTCATCAATATTTTCCAATGATTCAACAACATTATCTCCAGGATAAATATTCTACAAATATTACCCTTCCTCCTACTACATCTAAATAATAGTGATCATCGAAATTCTTCATCAAATGGTAATTCTTTCATCAATCACCAAATTTTTCCATCATAACCGAATCTTTTCTTTGATAACCTATTATAAATTTATATCTATCTTTCCGTAATAAGCTGTTCTTATGTATAGTGAGATTCCGTTAATTGATTACTTATAATAACGACGTTTCAATCACTTTACAACTCTTCCAGAACAGAAGAGATTTACAAATTTAAAACCCTTTGTTCTGTAAAGCAAGATGTAAGCGTACAATTTGAAATAATGACAGTTTCAAAATTATAAGCGTTGTCAAAACTAATTCAAAGGATAAAAGAAACTTGTGTAATAAAATAAACCAACTTCAAGAATGCGATATATTTCCAGACTTTTGATATTTTAACTGAAATCGATATGTTTTCTCAACATTTATTGACTTTAAATCCTTCTTTGATCTTTCTCTTAATTGAATTAAGAGATAAAAGTTGAAGAAAACGTCTCGATTTCAATTAGAAATTATTTACGTAATCTAGTTTCCTCCGTAATGGCTTGCCAGTTACTGGATACCCAGATCGGTGCAATATTGGCTTACAATGATTGAAAAATTACCATCAAACGACATATAAATTTATCAAATACTTTGCTAGGGTATTGATTTTCAAGATATATGTCGAGCAAACTTTTATTCGGTTATATATCTAATGGCGAATCTAAAGGGAGATGAAACACATAAAATAAATAGACTAAAACAAAAGAATGGATTTTTTTTAAATACGAATTTTTTCGTTAATTGTTTCGCCATTGTAATATTTAAAATTAACAAACTCAAATATAGATCTGGGATTTAAATAACTTTTAATTAAGTTATGCTCTTTAGTATTTTATTTGCGAAATGTGTATTTAACAAGGATTGCTACGAAAGGAGGAACAAATAAAACAAGTAGACAAGAAAGAAGATCTGAACTACTTTTCAAAGAAATATTTCAGAATTTTTTCGTTATTTGTTTGGCCACTGTAATATTTAAAATTAACAAACTCAAATATAGATCTGAGATTTAAATAACTTTTGATTAAGCAATGCTTTTCAGTATTTTATTTGCGAATTGTGTATTTAACAAGGATTGCTATGAAAAGAGGAACAAATAAAACAAATCGAAAATTTTTCAATCAAAATCAAAATTTTTCAAAGAAACATTTCAGAATTTTTTCGTTAATTGTTTTGCCACCATAATACTTAAAGTTTACAAACTCGAATATAGATCTGGGCTTTAAATAACTTTTAATTCACTTGTCTATTTGTTAGACAAGAAAGAAGATCCGAACCATTTTTCAAAGAAATATTTCAGAATTTTTTCGTTATTTGTTTTGCCACTGTAATATTTAAAGTTTACGAACTCAAATATAGACCTGGTCTTTAAATAGCTCTTAATTAACTTGTCAATTTGTCAGATAAGATAGAAGATCCGAACTATTTTTCAAAGAAATATTTCAGAATTTTTGTTGGTATTAAATTAACANCGAAAGGAGGAACAAATAAAACAAATAGACAAGTAAGAAGATCTGAACTACTTTTCAAAGAAATATTTCAGAATTTTTTCGCTAATTGTTTCGCCACTGTAATATTTAAAATTAGCAAACTCAAATATAGATCTGGGATTTAAATAACTTTTAATTAACTAATGCTTTTTAGCATTTTATTTGCGAAATGTGTATTTAACACGGATTGCTACGAAAGGAGGAACAAATAAAACAAATAGACAAGATAGAAGATTTGAACTGTTTTTCACAAAGACATTTCAGAATTTTTTCGTTAATTGTTTTGCCTCCGTACTATTTAAAGTTTACAAACTCGAATATAGATCTAGGCTTTAAATAACTTTTAATTATCTTGTCTATTTGTTAGACAAGAAAGAAGATCCGAACTATTTTTCAAAGAAATATTTCAGAATTTTTGTTGGTATTAAATTATTCAAAGATTTATCTAAACTATAGATAATTTATTAGCATTTAATGTTAATTAATTGTGAAATAGGTTCGGCTACACATCTATTTGAAAACTCTATGGAAAGTGAAAAAATCAGATAAATAGACGAAAAACAATAACTGCTATTTTTCAAGAAATATTAGTATTTATTTTGCCTTTGTAGGAATTAGCTATCTATAAATTAAAGATAATTAATGCATTTACGTATTTGAGTATATTTTACTGTTATATCTAATAGATAATCTCGAGGCAAAATAATAAAATAAGTATACAGGAAAAATAGCTAAACTATTTTAATATTTGTTTTGTCATTGCAAGGTTTAACATTAACAAATTCAAATGCTTGCATTTTATATAATATTCATAGCAATAAAGAAACAATATAGTCGTCGTTTTAATGTTGTCATTAAAAGAGTCGTGTTTTAAAATTTCTTTTTCTCAGAAAATATTCGACCGATTTTACTTAAATTTTGTATTTTGCCATGCTAAATTAGATATTTAAAGGTGCAAAAAAATGTCTACCTTACCCGAAATTGTTTTGACCATTGTTAAATAAAATAATAAAAAATAATTAACATTTAGTAATAGTTATTTCTTACATGGATAAACGAATGTTATAAATGTGAAACCGAAAGTTTTCAATTCGCTTAATAAATTCTCGGCATATGGGGAAATACCCAAAAAAATCAGAATAACATTAAGGAGTTCAAACTTTGGACAGCCCTCTTGACCGAACTGTTGGGACCATATTTCTGAGATTTCAGGTACTCCCCATATTTTGGGATTCAGAATTCCGAATCCATCAAAAAAAAATTCTATTCTGATTTGTGTCTTACTTTATAATTTAAATTATCGTCTGTACTAATTAGTTAGCATATTAAAAGGCTGCCTTCTCGAACTATAAAGATTGAGTCCTTGAATGTTAAGATCTGATCATTAGGATCAAAAGTTATTTAGAATGGACAGTTTATTCTCTTGCGCACTGTTCTACCACTTTCTCTCATTGGTGTTTTTCATATCTAACTTATATGACCAGACATTAATGAGTAATTACATGGAAGAAATTATTTATCCCACCTAATTTTATATTAAAAATCAAATATGTTATCTAAGCCTAAAAATTCCTTAATTTATTTATATTTTATGTACACCAAAGAGCCACTACATTATGACCACCCTCCATCTATTACGATTTCTCGCCCAAGTTTTCATGGCTTCTCGCCCAGGAACAATGTTTTCGTGGGGGCACATTAGGACCCATAATCCTCATAGAACGATTCCTGACGTCTGTAAGCTACTTGAACATAGTTGCAGACCAGGTTCACCCATTCATGGCAACAGTTTTTCCTGCGGGGGATGGTGTTTACCAACAGGATAATGCACTCTATCATAAGGGTCG